CAGGTTCCTTAGATGGTCTCAAACCTGATCTTGTCCTGAGGTGGGCGCTACTTCATTCTCCCAGTCCCTGCCTTTGGATTCTGTGAATTGGACGGCATGGCTAGAGCACTTGCCAGTGAAGACTGAGGCAAAATAGTTGTTGAGTAACTCAGCCGTTTCACTCATCAGGGGGGTATAGTTTCTTTCATCTTCCTTTGTTGTTCTATGTACCTGAAGTAATTTCTGTTGTTATTTTTTACTTCCCTGCCAAGTTCAGCTCCATCTGTGCCTTGGCTTTCTTGATCCCCTCCCTGCACTCCCTTGCCATATCACTATAATCTCCCCAGGATGTGTATCCCTGCCTCCACTGCCTATGCATTTTGTTTTTGTGGTTTTGTTTGGCTAAGAGTTCTTGACTTAGCCATGCTGGCGTCCTGCCTCCCCTGCCCGACTTCTTGCACGTTGGGATTGAGAGCTTTTGCACCCTAAGAAAAATGTCTTTTAAATATCTCCCAGCTTTCGTTCGCTCCTTTACCTCTGAGGGCAGTTTCACAAGGGATCCCATGCACTAGCACCCTAAACAGCTGAAAGTTTGCCTTTCTGAGGTTTAGGGTCCTGACTCTACTTTTTACCCATCCTGTACCCCTCATGATTGAGAATTCTACCAGGGCATGATCAAGGAGATTTTGACAATTTCTGTCAATAGCGTATCTACCCTGTTACAGCTGGATTTGCTTGCAATGTTCCAAGATATACCTGGTATTCTGTAGGACCAGATCACTGTCTGCAGGGAGTTTTATTAATGTATGGTTCTCCCTTTTGGGTTCTTGGTTATTGTGCAGACACAAGGGGCTTTTACACGTTAAGATGACTCAGTGTCTTGGAAATTTCTCTTTGTTTAAATGATTGGTTAATTAATTCAAGAATAGAAGTAAAATATCGTATAACTAGAATTGGGGTATAGTTCACTGAATGATTGTTTCCTTTGTAGACTGATGAGCACAGGATATGTGTTTGTGTACGAAAACGACCACTCAATAAAAAAGGTATGGCCATTTAAGATTTTGCAGAATTTTTTCTCTGAAAAGCTGCTTCTGATAGTAATATTATTTGTATTAAAGAGATCTAGAAATACTGATCAAAGGTGAAACTCTGTTATACTAGACAATATGTGTGAGAGACCCAGAAAATTCATAGACTTATCATAACCTGGATAAAGACAGGGAGAAAAGTAGTTTAACTGTTACCATTTTATGGACTGGGAGCTGAGGCACAGAAAGACTGTAATTTTTTCCCAAGGCCATCTAGGATGTATTTAGTTGATCAAGGAATTAATTCTACTGTAATTTCTTCAGTATTCTTACATTGTGTTAGGATCACCATTCTTTTAAACTATCCTTTAAGTGATCTTCTGATCAGTGAGCTACCCAATGAAAAATTTTCTACACTTTTTTTTTATATATGCATATTTATACTTTCAAGTGGTCTTGAATCAGACATCAAGGGAACAATTCAGGTGCCTGAATGTTGGTGTCTTCTGACATGTAAGGTGCCCAAGGGTGTCCAAGACATCCTCGCAGGGCTGATGGGTTACAGACAAACTGGAGACTTGTATCTCCTGGAGTTGCTGCTCAGGGCTGGACAGGATACCCTAGGGCATATGAAATGGCACTAAACAACTATTTTTAGGTACTGGAATCACTCCCTAGTGACTTATTTTTATGTACGATTAGTATTACAACTTTTTTTCTTACTGCCTGCTGATCAGACTGGAGTCTGTATTAAAAAAAAAAACAAAACCAGCCAAACATTTAGGTTTTCGACTCCAGTTAAATCTCAATCTTTCTATGAAGTTCTTTACTTTTAGCGGGAAATTAAAAACCACAAATGCTTCTGGATTGCAGCCTGTCTGAATCCAGCACTAAAGTAAGCTGACTTTCATTTTGAAAGATATTTCTTTCCTTCTCTTTTTGTTATATTTCGTTTAGCTAAAGGACTCAAAGAACATCACTCTGACTCTGAAACAACATGGGATGCATTTATTATTTTTGTACTGTCAGAACTGCCCATTGAGGATTATCTGGAGCATATCCAGAGGAAAATGGGAGAATTGTATGGGAAAGGGGAAGGGAAAACATATGTTGATGTCAGTATATAGTTAGGGTTTTTTTTTCTAATTTTTCCCTCCGTGTTGCTGCTTCCCCTACCTTTTTTTTTCTTTATTTTTACTTTTACTGTTTTCTTATTCCCTGTATTTTTTCTTTTATTGATCTGAATGGAATGCATAATCTCAAAAATTGGTCGATTGAAACTATTTTGCACAACCTATGTAATAAGGGCATTCAATATACAAGTCTGGTAGCAGTTCAATTTCTGTTTTAGCATTGGAGGTTATCTTTAATAAAATATGACTTAGAAATGTGATACATTTGGAGGGAATGTTCCCTTCTACCTGCACTGAAGGTGGACAAAGTGAAATTACAGTAAATGACAGCAAGTTGTCATGAGGCATGAGTTGGTATTCAGAAGTGGGATTTGAGTCTATGCAAGTTGCATATCTTGGGTATTAGTGGTTTGGAGCTATTAAAAAAATAGTTCTGAGGTGTTGGTAGGAAGATGAGTGTCTAAGTAAAAATGAGGTTGGCACTAAAGTTATTTTGCATTTTTAAGAATAAGCTATAATAAAAAGTTATTAATGAAATAATCTATGCTGGGGATTAACCATAGAGATAATCTAGTACCCACATAATACAATCTCTGAGAACATGCACTTTAATTTTGAAAGTTCATAAGAAACAATATTTCTCATGCCACATTTTAAAATTGAAGAGTATAAAGGAATCAAAGATATTAGTGTGTAATCCCCTGAAGAGAAAAAATATAAATATTTTTTCCTTTATTATTGCAATAATATCACGTCAAAAAATATAACATGTCAAAAATATTATCTTTCCCCTTTCGTATTCTGTATTTTGAAATTCTGTAAGATGTTCAAATAATTTAATAGAAATCAAGTGTACAAATCAAGTTCTGTCAGTCTCACAAACACAGAATTATCACCAAAGTTTTAGGTGTTCTCAGCACCAATCGTTCTGTGGATTGACTTTGCAGGAAGTAGGTCTTCAGATTGACATTTTAAGATTTTATTTCAGTGACATATATTTATAATTGAGAAATTATATAATTGTGTGGTGGGTTTCAGAGACACTATTTCAAATTTTCATCGGCAAGGAATACAGGTTGTCATAACAAATAGCTGGGAGCAGGTAAATGTCTTACTCCAAACAATCATTTAAGAAAAACCAGCTTTTGACTGCTTTAACTAAAAAGCTTTTGCTGCAAAGAATTGACCTTTATATATATCTTTTCACCACTATTCCTTATTTCTTCTCTGTGATTACTGCAGAATAATTGCATTTTATTTTATTGCAGTGCAGTTAAAAAATTGATTATATAGTGACTTGAATGCATATTTCTGTTGGTGTGTAATGTCATGCAATGGTAACCATTGTACTGTTTGATCAGTATGTTAACTGATGAAAAGATTTCTATCTGATCATATAAAGCCACATCAAATTCTTGAACTGCATGCCTTTAAGAAATTTTACATAGAAATGCAAGTAGGACACATTAGTGATCCTGACTGTACACAGAAAGGATTTTGTGCATCTCATGGATCGCTGGGTTCTCTGTTTTGCCGAGTCGTATCTCATACAACAATTAGCAATAAATTGTAGTGCTGTGTAGTAATTATAACCTGGGAACTCACTATTGAAATCGCATCTAGATGGCTTTTGTTCATTCCCAGTGATAGGAAGCATCATTAGCATTTTCAGCTTTTTCCGCTTACAAGGTAATTTTTAGAAAGGATTTTACTTTAGAGAAATTCTATATTAAAGATGTATACTCTAGATTCCAGGAGGAATGCACAAATGAAAATGTCTGTGTAGAATGAAAACAATTTTTTTCTTTTTGAAAGCTGTGAACATATGACTATAACTTTAAGGATTTAGGGAAAATAAAAAGACAAAATTTTAAAATGAAGCTATAATGATAGTGCTATAATTAATGATCTTAGTTTTTCTAAACAACTTTGTACAACCTCTCTTTACTTTCTAGCACTTGGTAGGATAGGATGACTAGACTTCCAAAATGAAATCTCTTACTTAGCAGATTACTATCTAGGTATCAGAAGCCCAAGTCCATTGCAGTGTTGTTACTTGGAGGAGCTGTGTTATCTGAGATGTTGTAAGAGTGTAAACAATGAAAAAATGTTAAAAGAAATTATGTGTTCCTAGTTAAAAATATATATTTCACTTATTTTATAGAAACTTTAATGAAAGACCTTGACGTAATAACAATTCCTAGTAAAGATGTTGTGATGGTACATGAACCAAAACAAAAGGTGGATTTAACAAGGTACCTAGAAAACCAAACTTTTCGTTTCGATTATGCCTTTGATGACACGGCTCCTAATGAAATGGTTTACAGGTATGTGTATATGCTTTTTTTTGTGAATCTTTTTTCTCATGTATCTCCCATGTCAATAACTGTGGGATTACCTTGGTCATAGACTTTACTCCTATTCTCTGTGTTACCAGATATGTATATTGCTACCTCCATTCTTTTGCCTGTTTACTTTTATTTTAACTCTTTATCCTGAATTCTTCACCTGCAATATGGTGGGGAAAGTGTACAAAGTGGGGGGGTGGGGGGTGAGGTGTGTATGTTTGCTCTATTGCTGAGATATCTGAGCTAGTTTGGCTGTTGGAAGCAATCTAGCTGATGTAACATGTACATAGAGCTAATTTATCTATCTTGCTCAAAATGCTGAATCTTTCTGATTTAAAAAACAAAAGCAACAGAGACACACACATCCCCTCAGCCCCAAGGTATTTGGATCTCCATTTTCTCCTTTATTCTTCTGTTTCACTTCCACAGTTGGAACAGAATAATGCACACAGCACTTTTAAAAACTTGTTTAGAAGCAGCTGTTTACCTTGTACAAGTCACTAAATGGATTAGATACAGTAGCAGGCAAGGTTAGACACCATGACAGGTCATAATCTCGGTATGCAGTCTAAATATTGTGAAGATTTTTGTGAGGAATATTGATATTCGAAAGGAATTTGATGAAGATATTTTCCTTATGCTTAGAAAGTGCTTCCCATAGCCTTAAGGATTAGTGACAGAGAAATATCTTAATTTTTGTTTTTAATCCAACTAGGAAGTGAAAGTTGGCATCGATCTTGATTGATGTTAGATGCTAACATCCTGTCGGTGGATAAGAGAAAATTCATAGTAAAAGAATTATTAAAAGGCCTTGAAAATGAAAACTTGTGTCTTATGCTTGATATAAGTAAGAGGAGAAGGGTAGCAAAGTAAAATCTTTTTAGTCTGTTAGTTTACGCTAACGAAAGACTTCTAAACAGCAAAGCTGTGCCCTTGGAAATTTCTGTCTCTAATGATTTTCTACTGGTAGCATCTTTTCTTACTTGATACTGAAGAGATGTGAGAGAGTGATCTAGCTGGTGAGATGTGCCTCTTGCAATAGTTTTCCTCCTGCTTAACAACCAGTTCTTGTAATCTCCCTCCTTCCTGTTATTTGTCTTGTGTTTAAATGTGAGGGCTGGTTTTGACATACAACGTTATTATGTTTTTGTAATGAGTTACTTCTGGACAATTTTTATTAGTTTCATAATAAATTAATAGTAGTATGGGAAAATATTTAAAGATGCTTGTATTCATACTGAAATAGTAAATCTCTAGTCTGTATAGCAGTACAGGCTTTTTCCTTCTCCCTCATATGGCACAATAATGATTATTACATGAAGGATAATCTCCTTCAAGGCCTCCTGTAATAACAAAATTAAGAGGAAGATAGGTATCGTCATCTGCTCTCACCAGAACTATCAGGGTCACAGTGGGGAAAAAAAAAGTATGACAAGTTACTCCAGTTTTCTTCAGTATGCTAAAATTACTCACTATACTTCTGTACTGAAAAACATTCTTGAGAAATGTACTACTTTAATTTTTTTTATTATTATTTTGCTTAAGCTGTATTTTAAGTATTTTTGAATCCATGAGCCACAACACTGAGTTGCAAGTTTTCTTTAGTATTAAAAAACACGCACTAGTGTGAATGGGTAGGCTTTTTGAATTTTAAAGGAGAATCAGAGTTTATATTTCTGAAGGATCAAGACTGCAAATAAAGGTTCTACTAGAAAGAAAGTTGGACTGTTTTGGCATGGTACCATTTGGACTTGTATAATGCTTTACAAAGATAGATATGTTTGTATTTTGCCTTATTTTAAAATACATATTATTAAATCCCTTTTTTATCAGCAAAATAAATAATTTCAAACTCAATTAAACAGAGATAATGGAACGTGCTTCTTAGGTGGATAGGTTTCTTGAAATTTATATTTCAAATATAAAAAGAACAAACACCGAAATACGGGAATATCCTCTTGAAGACAAAAGAAGTATATGTTTGGAGGAAGCAAAAAAGAAAGACTAAAGCTGATCAGGAATCATCTGGTACATTTTTGATGAAAATTGATGATTCAGTTAGATTTTTGCATAACCCTTGGTTGCTGAATGGCTTGGTCTTACCCATATTATTTTTGTAAGTTATCTTGTGTTTGTTCCAAAGTGGAATGAAAGGAGGTTGTAACACCTCAGTGTTTCTGTAAATAATCGTTCTTGTTTCTCACTAAACATATACTTTATGTGTAAACACCTGGAAAAAGTTTAGAAAGAGAGACTGTTGCAGAAAGAATCTTACCTCCATCACTTAGTGGAGGTACCCCTCCATAAGGTTACCCTTTGCTTTTGGAGATTTTAATGAAGTAATGGTGATAAGCAGCTGAAGTAGAAGCAATAACTCTACATTTTTTAAAGCAAAAATTAATTCTCTAAAATAGAAAAATGATACTTTGGAGAATATTTTTGACACATCAAATAATACTTAAGGGATAACTGGATTTTTCCATTCTGATGAACTTGGGTATACATTTTCTTGAGCCTTTTCTCAGCGTAACTATGTTCTCAAAATATTAAGACGTGCAATGTTGTTTTGGCCACCTGTCTTCTAAACTTATTCCTGGAAGCTGATTTAGGGAAAAAAACCCCAAAAACAAAACTATAGCCGAATTTTTGTATTGGCAAAATCTAAGTATTTATCTGCTGCACTGTCCTACTTCCATATTTTCTAATCCTGTCTTCTTTATGGAGCTCCAAACTCCATGTAGTAAGCTGTGCCATGTTGCATCATTAAAACAAGGAATTTTTTTTTCTCAGGGTTTGAAGGAGGATAATATTGTTGTAAAATAAATGGGAGACACCTTGTAGCTTTTGTTTAATTGTTTAGGATATTTTAATGCCTTAGAGCTGGTAGCCTCTTTAGTTCAGGAATTAATGTGGAGATGTCCTTTGGCCTCTCAAAGTACAAAACCAGTTTTGTCACTTCTGGCCTTAAAATGTATAGTGTCCTTGTGGTTAGTGTTACATCTTAAAGCAATTAAGTTTCTTAAGTATTGGGGTTTTTTTTGCATTTAGGTTTACAGCTCGACCGTTAGTGGAGACCATATTTGAAAGGGGAATGGCCACTTGTTTTGCATACGGACAAACAGGCAGTGGAAAAACCCATGTAAGTATTTCTTCTACATGTCAGCAATACACGTCTTTTTATGTATGATACACTTTGATAAATTCTAATAAGTAACAAATATGTAAGTTACAGTTCTGTGATCTTTGTATTTTTGGTCGTCTTTGTTTTTTTAATTTAGACTATGGGTGGTGACTTTTCAGGAAAGAACCAAGATTGTTCTAAAGGAATATATGCACTTGCAGGTGAGACTTTATTGTTCTGTTGGCTTTTTGCAAATTAGTTGAGGTCAATACATTTCTACTCCCTGTCATACAAACATATTTTGCATTACAGTGGAGCTTTGGTAACATAAAAAATAGTTCCTAGGTGTGTAGTCTTTACACAGTGAAGTAAATATATATGTAGATAGCTTCAAAAACATAAGAAATATAACTGATGATTAATTGAGTTTACAATTTTGGGGTCTTCTGCATCTTCCAATGTAATGTGGCAGTTTAAACTGCAAGAGTTTTTTACTTGATTGACTGATCCTATCTGTTACACTTGCAAAATATGAGAGATGCTGTAAAACAGACTGTTATGCATTAATGTGTCTTCACTAAATGAAAATGCATAACTAGGTTTCTTTTTATTTTGGAAATGTATTCACAGCTCGAGATGTCTTTTTAATGCTAAAGAAGCCAAACTATAAGAAGTTAGAACTTCAAGTATATGCAACATTTTTTGAGATCTACAGTGGTAAGGTAAGTACCCCCTTTTTGTACTGAAAGCTTTATTTCAAATAATTCTTTACACTTCCCTTCCAATCATGTTTGTTCATGGAATGCTTTGCATATTTTGATACGAGATTTGAAGAAAAAATGTCTTTTAAAGCTCCTCTTTAACTGTTCTGTTTCCCCTCCCTAAGGTTTTTGACTTGTTGAACAGGAAGACAAAATTAAGAGTGTTAGAAGATGGTAAACAGCAAGTCCAGGTGGTGGGATTACAGGAACGGGAAGTCAAATGTGTTGAAGATGTTCTTAAGCTTATTGAAATAGGCAACAGCTGCAGGTATCTCCCATAGCTTCCACCAATTTTTCATTGTAAATTAAAGAATTGGAACAAGATTTTTTTGTCTCTACATAGTGATGGCTTTTTAAAATGCAGTGGTATTTTTGATAATGTTGGCTGCAAGTAAGGAGTCTGCCTATCTTTTGAATAAAGATAATTTAGAGTTTCTCTCCTAGAGAGAAATATGAACTGATTTTTCTACAGGATGTTAATTGCATGCATTATATAACCAGTTTACTGACTTAAATTCACATAATTTATAATCTGGAATACTGCCGGATAATTCAGTTCTAAAAGGCCTTGATATGTAGTGACAGAAGTTAAGCATAAAATTTTTTTTTTTTTTTTAAGATCCAGCTTTATTGTTTTTAAAATTAGCCTTCTGCATAGACTGCTGCCTGAGCAGCCATTGGCGGCATTTTACATGTAAGCTCTCTGATAGTCTGAAATCTTTGGAGATCTGATTATTCTTGCTTTTAAGAGGGAGGTAAAATGTTATTAATCTTCCATTTCTGTTTGAAAAATTGGAAAAATAGGTATAATTATACTATGTGCATCAAATTATTAGGGTAAATACAGGACTCTGCCCTGAAAAAACTAATGTTCTGAAGGTAGTGTTTAACATGTATGGTCCTTCGCCTGTTCATGTGTCCTTCCTTTCTTTCCTTTTGTTAAAGGACATCTGGCCAGACATCTGCAAATGCACACTCATCTCGAAGCCATGCAGTGTTTCAGATTATTCTCAGAAGGAAAGGGAAATTGCATGGTAAATTTTCTCTGATTGATTTGGCTGGCAATGAAAGAGGAGCAGATACTTCCAGTGCAGATAGGCAGACACGACTGGAAGGTGCGGAAATTAACAAGAGCCTTTTAGCACTCAAGGTAACTGAAATGTTTCCATTGCCTTTGAGTAGGTGGAAGCCTTCTACATATAATAGCAATGACTATTAAAATGAGTGTTTTTGCAGGCTTTGCTTGTCTACGTTGTCTACTGATGTGACAGGTAAAATAACGTATTGATTTTTTCTTTAAATGCCTGAAGAAACACTTGGTAATTACCAAGTAGAAACATTGCAGAAACATTGTGCTATCAACTTTCATGTAGCTTAAAAAAAAAACCAAAACAAAATCCCCAGTAGTTGAATTTGAACACTTTTCTGATATACACCTAAAATGGAAGGAGAGATGACTTACTTTGGTACTCAAGGTCTGAAATGCTAACTGGAAATATTCTTACTGATCTCAGTATATATTTTTTTAAGAAAAGATAAAAAATAAAGTTACCTTTATGACAGATTTATTTGCCACTTAATTAATTAACTAAAGAAGAAAACAACACAACAGCACTATATCCAGAAAGAATTAACAAATCAATTAAAATAACCCTTGAAAGGTGGAATCCATTTTTGACTATTCTTTATAGCAAATTGTCTGATACAATCACTTTGCAGATTTTCATATATTAATCCAGAACACATCAAGGGAGCTAAGAAATATTATTTAAATATTCAAATGCTTTTTTTGTTTGTTGCATAATGCTCAAAAGAGGTTCAGTCTATAATAGGGAAAGTAATTTTTTGGTCTCAGTTGGGGAAACAGTAGTTTTGAATGGTCCAAAACTTATCTCTGTTGTTGGTTAGCTTTGCTTTAGGTTTCACTACTCTCTGCACAGCACTGTGGTTTTATATAAAGAATCTAAACCCAAAAATCACCGTGCTTACTTTTTTATCCCAGTATAAACTTGGGAGAAGACTTGTATCAGACTCTAAGCAGATCTCACAAAACACCACAAAACTGTAACGTGTCATTACAAAATTGTATGCCATGTTGAAAAATTGGAAGCAGCAGTTCCAAAACTGTGGCCTGTTTTGATTTAGTATCAAAATAAATAATGCAAACAACATTGTGTTGACGTTATCACTTGTTTCCAAATGTAATTGAATAAAGCTGTTTTGGTTTTGTTTTTTTAGTTTACTTGCTGATTTTGTGCTGTCTAGCGCCTTCAATACAATACCCATACGACATACTTAGTTCATTTTCATACAACTTGTCTTTTTAATTATAGTGAAAGGCTCTGTGGCTGCTGTACTGGTGGTTGTGATCTAAATTATATGGGGAAGGGGAAATAAAAATAAGTGGAGGTCTTGTGGAGGTCTTGTGGAGGTCTTGCAGAGGTCTGCTGTTTGCATCTGCATATCAGTCCTGTTTTAACCTGTTCAGATTTTTGGTACAGGAAGTTATTTCTGTACTGTCTCTACATGGAAGTAGTGTTGTCATTTTGTTACCTGGTTTTCTGAGCTGTGATGAAAAGCAAAAGTAGTTAAAAACTCCATTAATTTAGAAGCTGGCAGTATCCTCCCATAATCCTTTTACTATTAAGGAGACAATCCAATTCTAATTTTTCAAGAGTGAGAAAACTAAAAATCATTATAGTAAATTAAAATATCTTAATTAAACTTGTTGGTTGCCATATCAGTAATTCAACATACACATTTGTTACTGGTTTTAGTTTGTAATGTCACTTGGTGAAAATCTGTTGCCCCTCTTCCTGTCTAATCTGCTTTTCTCCTTATGTAAATATAGTAGTAATGTACAAACAAATTAAAAAATTTCAAGGAATGCACTGCCTTGCTCACCTATAAGTGTTGAATTCTTGTTAGCATTTGCATGTGAAATTCGCATTCAACAAGCTTCAGTCTTTCTGTTTATCTGAGCTGTGTCCATTCTATAAAATTAATCTGGTGAGTTTTTAAATAATCACTTTAGTTAAAGCCAACTTGCCCTTGTGTTTGTTCTGTTTTGTATCATGGCAGTTTTATTCTGAGCCTGTTTAGTTCTGTTTTATGTTGTTTCACAGTTGCAATGCTTTCTTGGATTATCATCCCACAGTTTCTAACCTGGCTAGCTGTTTCTAGGAAATTTCAAAAGGCCACAAGGATATGGCTGCAGCTGGAGGATTAGCTGAACTACTGTAGAACTATTCATGTAACACAAAAGCCATTCCATCTGTTAGTCCTGCTAAAAGCAAAGCTATAACATGAAAAGATTTTGATGTACGGTTGTTTGAAGAAGTTTTCTGTGTAAACGTGTTAAAACTGTACCAAGGAAGCCCTGAATCTGAAGAGATGCCTGTACACAAAGTATTAAGGCAAAGCCAGAAACTGGAATTAATGATCAAAATATGACAACAACAAAAAACCAGAAATTTAAATTTAAACTTTCTTTCTGTAAGAAGTAATTTATTAGCTGATGTTAGAACTCTGAGTGGGCAGAAGTGATGTTTAGATTAGTG